CGTCATGTACGGCCGCCACGAAGCAATCGCCTCCATGATCAAACCTGCCTCCGTCAGCGTGGAGCGCCGCAGCGCCAGACCCATGCGCCGCAGCAGCCCGTGCCGAGCCCAGTGCGCGGGGTAGTGATCCAGCGCCGCCATCGCATTCACCAGCCCCGCCAGGTGACCCGGCCGTAGCAGCGACTGGCAGCGCTCCGCACAAAGCTCCAGGAGGGTCAACAGCTCCGAGTCACGCAGGTCAAAGGTGGCCATGATGCGTGCCGCCGACCACAGCATCCGGGAGCGCCGTTCCGCCTCCGTTGGGGCGACGTCGGGCGACAAGCCGCGCATGGTGCGCAAGCGGAGCCTTAGTCGCGTGGTGTAGCGGTTGAGTAGGCGTTTGGGCTGGTAGCCAGCGGCGGCGGCTGCGGAGCAGAAGCGGAGGAGGTGGTGGTCGGGGAAACCGATCCTGGGGCCGGCCGCGATGTCGACAGCAAGAAGTCGGTTCTCCAGGGCGCGTAGCGCCGTAGCGCTGAGGGCGGCGGCGGCGGCGGCGGCGGCGGTGGCGTGGTCATGTTCATGGTCGTGATCGTCGTCGTCCGTTACTGGCGTGCCTCCTGCACCGGTTTGAAGCGCTGAAGCAGGCTGAGTCAGCTGCTGTAACGCCCACACCGTCGTACACAACGCAGGACCGTCGTACCGCGCGCGTGTCGCCACAACGTGCTGGACGACGCTGACTGCGTCATCATCGCCCTTCAGTTTGCCGCCCCACGTAGCGAGAACAAACAGCAAGGTGGCGAGTTCCTGCGCCTTGAAGTGTGGGAGCTGCCTCCGCGATGCAGCCATTGCCGCGTTTACAAATGCACGAGGCGGCCGTACACCTGCATGCCAGTCGCCGGGAGACGCAAATACACACATATACATACATACATGCATACATACACCTCGACATGCCCTTTCCGCGGCTCAGATCATGAACACAAATACTTAGGGTAGCTTACATCCACACACTGGGGACACACACCACACCTTCAGCAGATCCACCTCCAGCAGCTTACCGAGCTTACTGACCTCCGGTGGTTGCACTGACAGGACCTTACCTGCACCTCAGCCCCTCAGTACACCTTCGCGCACCCATTGCCCTCCACACAGCCATACAGCGCTAGCCGCCTGCCCCCTAGCGACACGCCATGCCCCGGATCCTGTGATGTCATCATTCGACCGACGCATTCCAGAAAGAACCCAACCGACGCAACCAACTGACGCAACCAATCTACCCACCCAGCTTTGCAAGGCCCCAGCACAGGAGGGCCAGGCTCTGCGGTGCGGCCGCCTCCAGCTTGTCTTCTCCCTGGCAGCAAGACAGAGCCCAACGCACCAGACGCTCGCCCACCACTCCCAGCCGCACCGCCGCCCACACCGCCTGCGCAGCGGCCTTGACAGGCACCGTGGAGGGGGGTGCCTGCACACACAGCCAAGGGGGGAGGGGAAAGACGAACCACGAACGAGTGAGGCTGCTGCCAAGGAGGGGGGCCGTGGCCTTTTTAGGACACCTGCCACCCGCCAGGCGGTCCTGCGAGGGTTTCTCAGTTCTTAGGGTTTACACACGGACAGATGTGCGCTCCCTCCCTCCCTCCCTCCCGCCCCCCTTCACTTACCAGCAGCAGCAGCTGCAAAAGCGGCCGAAGAACCGTTGCGCCGCGATACCGCATCGCCACGCACACCCACAGCAGCATCGCCAGGTCGGACGCGCTCAGCTCTGCCCCCTGCGCCGCCAAGCTGCCGCCTCCGCCGCTGCCGCTGCCGCCACCCGCAGCGGCGGCCTCCGCCTCCGCCGCTCGCAGCAGCTGTCCCACGCCTAGCTTCACCACCGCCGCCGCTATCGGGCCGCTGTAGCGCAGCTTGCCTAGCAGCGCTAAACAGACCTTCAGTTCCCTCGGGGTCCAGGACCGCGCCCCCAACGGCCCCGCGCCACGGCCTCCTTCCCCCTCTCCCTCCGCCGTCTCCTCCATTCCCACACCGACCCTAGCACCCGGAGCCGCCGCCGACTCCTCAACGCGAGGAGCAGCAGCAGCGGCGCCGCCAGCGGCGGCAGCAGCTGCAGCTGCCGCGTCCTCGGCGTGCTGCAGCCAGCGCAGCAGCGGCAGCAGCAGCTCCCGCAGCAGCAGCGCCGGCCGCCAGCGGAGCGACACGCAGCCGCTGAGCACGTCCAACACGTCCGGCGGGTCGAGGGCAGAGGCGCCCGCCAGCGCCCGCAGGCGCTCGTGGAGGGCCCATAGCAGCGGCGGGAAATCGGGCCGCACGCCGAAATTTGCTGCTCGGCCGATAAGCTTTAGCAATCGGATTGCCCGCGCGCTATCAAGCTCCCTAACCGCCGGCGTCAGTGCGCGGCAGGCGACGATGCCCGCGGCGCGCAGCATTGCTGCACGTTCCGCAGGGATGCACGGCACAGCGGGGGCGGCGGCGGAGGAGGAGGAGGTTGACGGCGTCGCCTCCGCAGCGGCCTCCGCAGCGGCGACCACCGCTGCCAGCACGCCCATCGCCTGGTCATACGATAGGGATGGCGCTGGCGGCGGCGGCGTCAGCTGCGGCGGCGGCGAATCCGCCGGCGATATCCGATCACCGAGGCGGCGAACAACAGTTCTGGAGGTCGTTGCGGTGGCGGGAGCCGCCTCCGCCTCCGCCTCCGAAGCCAGCCTTCTGAGCAACGCTTCCAGGAGCGGCTCTGGAAGTCCAAGAGCTATCGTCACCTCACCATCGCGCCCTTCGCTGGCAGCCTCAGACAACACGCCCTCCTCGCCTGACGCAGCCGCCGTCCCCTCGGCAACAGTACTTGTGAATGCCGCCCTCGCCGCCACCGCGACAAGTGCCGCCGCGGCGTCGATGCTAACCTCCTGGAGTGAGGTTGCCTGCACGGCCGCCAGCAACTTTGACACGTCAGCCGCCGCAGCGCTGCCAAACACGCCCCGCCGCTGGAGCCGTACCGCCGCCGCCGCCAGCCTGCACAACCCGTCTGGCGGGCAGCCGCCACCCGCTGCCGCAGCAGCAGAAGGTTGCCGCTGGTCCGCCAGCGCCGCCGCTGCCGCCAGCAAGCGCCGTACGGCGTCGCCTCCAGCTGCCCCGCTCCCTAGCGCCGCCGCGTCTGCCAGCGGCGCCTCCGCCAGCAGCGCCGCCGCGTCGGCAGCACACTCCATTGCAAGCGCCAACGGAGCCGGACCCAAATGGCCAGCCGCCGCCGCCAGTGCCTCAACGAGCCCATCCGCTGCCTCAATCGCCGCCTCCCGGGGCGTTACTCCTGCCGCCGCCGCCGCCGTCGCGATGCCCCGCCGCTGCTTCAGCAATTGCTGCGTTTGAGATGCATGCGGCCGGCGCGGGTGATGACGCACCCGCAACGCCGTCATCAGGGCGGATAAGAAGGCGACGTGGTGCGCTTCACCTCGGTGCGGCGCCAGGTACGGCGTCATGAGGCCGCGCACCTCCGCCGCCGTCAGGTAGGTACTACTGCCCCCACTGGCCCCGGCACCTGCATCCGCGCCGCCAGTGCTTGCGGCAGTAGTAATGGTGGTGGTGGTGGTGGTGGTGGTGGTACTGCTGAAGGCGTGCGCCACGAGCCGCGCCGCAAGCTGTCCGGGATCTGATGCGGCTGAGTGCACGGAGGAGGAGGAAGAGTGAGAGGAAGAGGACGGTGGACTGAGCACCGCCGATGCAGCTGCCATTCGCGCCGCGGCCTGTATACATACGAGTGAGTACAGCAGGTGGCAGTTAATAGTGTAAAAACTATGATCAAGTGATCAAGCGGCACAGACTAAAGCAAGGCGGTCAATAACCTTCTTTTGAAGGCCCTCTTCCCCACCCAAACGGCGGAACACAGGTGTTCACCACAAAAGGTAAAAATATCACAAAAGGCATTGGCATTCCACCATGAGGTGTCGTACAACCCAGGCGGTACGATAATTATGTACGAAAGAAACGGACACGGAACATGGGTGCATGAAACCCATACATGTGAGGTGGTCTTTAGGAGCCGTGGCTACGCTCAGTGCGCATCCTCTTCAATCTACTTTACCGCTGCGGCTATCGCTACGAGGGCAGGGTCGAAAGAAGGGTCGCGCGCACTCACTTGGACAAAGTAGCTTGGCACATCTACGCCGTACTGTACGGCTGCATCAAGCACGATGAGCAGCGTGGACGGTTCCGCAGCGGCCCCGATGTCTACACTGTGAAGCAGAGCCGCCACGGCCGCTCGCACGCCCTCCAGCTCCTTCTCCTTCGTCCCCTGCGCGCTGCTAGCGGCTGCCCCCAGTGCTGCGGCCTTGGCGGCACCCGCCAGCCCAAAACCATCCAGGCCGCCGAAATCTGCACCGCCGGTAAGCTCGACGCCGTCGCCGCGCCATTCCAACCACCATTGCAACGCAACAAGCCCCTCCGCCAGTACGGCAACATTCGCATCCGCCGGCACCGCCGCCGCCGGGCTGACGCCGTCGCGAGTACTGCTGGCACCGCTGCTGCTACTGCCGCCGCTACCGCTGATGGCGGCGGCGGCAGCAGCAGTGGCGGAATGCTCCAGCGATCTGTCCACCAGTGCGGCTGCAACAGCCGCGGCGGCGGGCGCCAGAATGTCGCAGCTGGCGGGCGGCCGCCAGGCGGCAATCAGTCGCGCCGCCAGCAGCAGCTCCTCCGGCGCCAGGTCCCTTGCACGCTGCTCAATCTGCCGAAACGTGAAACATGCCGAGAGGGTTATGTAGAACCCTCGGAAAGGGTGAAAGACATGTCAACCACGCGCACGCTGTGCAGTCCACGACCGCAATCGTTCCCTCCACTCCTCTCCCACTCCTCTCCCGCTCCTCTCCAGACAGGCAAACGTACGCGCTGTTCATCCTGCTCATGCTCCGGAGTGTGACCCAAATCGATTGTGGCCGATTAAACTGTCCCTTGGCTATAAAGCTATGCTAGGCTAGGCAGTAGCACCCAAAGGACGGTACTTCTGTTACGCTCGCTACATCCATACACAGAAGGACGACGGAGGAGGAGGCGAAGGAGGAGGCCGCGTGGCTCTATGCTGATGGAATGGAATGGCTGACCCCGCACAAAGCCGCACGGACAGGGCCATATTTAGACTACACTGCATTCACCCTTCCAACGGATCGCGCACAGGCAAGCGCAAAGTGCCCTGCAATCCCTGCACCACTTATCGGCGCACCCACAGCGGCTATACACGGGTACCTCCCCCAGCGGCCTCACCAGGTCCATCAGCAGCTCCAGGAACGTTCCCCCGGGCAGCAGGCGCAGCAGCATGTCGCTTCGCAGCACGGCTGCCGCCACTGCAGGGAGCCCCGCGGCTATGACGCAGTCCTCCAAGTCGGAGCGACCCTCTACCAAAGTCAGCAGGACTGGCAGGCGGGCCAGCGGTATCGAGTCGGGATCCAGGAGTCCAGCTAAAAGTACCTGCATAGCGGGGTAGCGAATCATGCAGGGGAATTGCACTCAGAGGGGGCGGATAGGCAGGCAGGGGGTGCACGGGGCGTGGAAAAATGGGGAGTGCGGGGGAACAGACGGACAGGACAGGGTAACGTGAGGGGGGAGTAATGAGCCGCAGAGGACAAATGTGGGCGGCAAGTAGGGATCGTGCTGGTGATGGTTCTAATGCCTGGGGAGCAGTGCGAAAGGAGTACGGATATGGCCACAAGCGTTGAGCCAAGTAAGCTGCGCACCTCTGTGCGCTGCTCCTTTGCACCCTGGAGCCACTCTGAGCGGCTTGCTGCAGGCTCGCTCGGACTCCATCGAGGGGATTCGAATGATGCCTTGCGCCGTGCACGCCTCTGCGTGCAGACCAAAGTCGTTCAGTAAAGAGAGGGGATGATATTTATTGTTGTAATGCCAGATATGCTGTGAAGTGAGAATAACTCGCTGCTGCGCGCCGCCCAGCGCACCTGTCGTCGACCCTCCTGGCTCCGCGTCAAGCTCGTATTGTAAGATCCTTCCTTACTGGTGCTGCGACATGCGAGCTGCCGTTGAATTGCAGGTTTAAGCCAGTCATGCGTCAAGCTACCCCACCGGGGCCGGAGGGCAGCAATCGTATGACAAAATGTCGCCCTGTTGAAGGAGCCCGTCCGACGGATCGTACACGGGCGCTGCATAGCTCATATAAGGCTATCGTCTAGCGATCAGCGCACTGCAATACAACGAGTTGTAGTAGACTTGCAAACATTGTGATCAATCATCGTTCAGACTCAATGCGGATTTTGAGGATCTATGTAATCACTAATACAAAACAATTGCGCGTACGAGGCATAGTTTCCAAAAAAGACGGGAGATGTCTCCGTACAAACCACTCGGCTCCCAACGCTCAGAATGTTCCTCATACGGAACATGACATCGCTTATCCATCGTTTTGCATGTGTTACTTAATCGTGTCTGCATACTGTGCCTAAAATATCCAAGGCACTAGAAAGTTCAGCAGCCAAGGTTAGTAGTGTTGACGGTAAAATCGGAACCTTTTGCTTCAGCTGCTTGGGAACCTCTATGGCACATTTTATGGCAGCATTGTCACCATTTCTTTCACATTTTATGGCAGTCTTGCCGCCATTTCTTTGATTGAGGCTTGGGAACCGTTGCAACAACGGAAAGTCTCTAACTGACGTCCCGTCGCCTATCCTCCATTGCTCCGCAGTCCGCTCTCGGGATTGCGGTGCCACGACAACCAACCTTTCGCAGGAGATTAGTTATCCACGAATCAGTATTAGGAAGGACAATTTGATTGCACGTTTGGACCTTGAGTTCGGCAGTAGCAGTGTGTTGCAGCGGGCTGAAACGCGTTTTTGGTTCCGTGCGGCTTTGGCCGGGTGCACCTGGCTACGGCAAGAGTGTGGCTTGAGCGACACAGATAGGAGCAAGGCCACTAGCCGACATCCTACTCCGGCCTTTTTTACCCGCAAATGTAATGCGACCATACCTATCCGCATTTGGGCCCACGGTGTTTCTTTCTTTTCGCCATCACCCTCGCAGCTGTCATCCTCAGATTTTGCGGCTTCCTTGACTGCAAGCTAATTTTTCCAGTTAATGAGTTCGGCCTGCTCTTAGAAGTTGTTCGTTGACGTGTCAGCGGCCGGTTTTACCTCCCGAGTGTTTGTGGGTGTTTCGGCCAGTTAACAAAACGAGCGGCCCAAGTGGTGAGGTGGCAGCGCCTGTCAAGGAGCTTCAGGCCGGGCGGCCAAGCCGTTGAGTTTCATAAGGACACTTAAAAGGTTGCTCACTGTAAGGTGGTGAGGAGGGAGGTAAGATATGGCAGCTGCAGCTGCACGGACGGCTGCGAAATCCGGTAATGTGCACCGGCGTGTGCAATACTGGTCTTGCTTGAAACCTTTTAAGTGATGCTATGGCTTGGCCGACAGCTCAGACATAGGTGTCCAGCGCTACATCATTGCAGCAAGTGCTAAAAGAATCAGCCTGCCAGAGTGAGAGGCCTCAGGAAGGGACAAACCTGTGTCAGAGCGGCTTTGGGGGAGTGTCTCATAGCGAAGGTGATGCGAACATGTACAGCGACCATACGAACCAACATTGCATTACATAATACGTATAGGCACCTCGGAAACGTATACTACCAGGAACAGTACTGTCCAGTGGCATCTTGCACACATTCTGCCGCAACCCAAATAGAAACCTGCCACGTTCGCCACGATGCTACGCCGCCTGAAAGGAATCCCCACATTCGCAACGACTCTCACACAAAAGCGCACAACCACTAAACCGCACGCACGTGCTATGCACACGGCTTGCCCCAATCTGCGTGTACGCGCACGCTTTTTTTCTACTTCGTGAAACCCCCAAAACCCGCAGGGGTACTGCCATCAGGGGTCCTGAACCCAGAACCCGAGCATCGGTTAAGCCAGGAGCGCGAGTTGCTGGCGGAATGATTTAGTCGTAGTAGATGCGGGTGTACGGTGCCGGAGCACCCAGCTGAGCGCGCTCACGGCGCTCAGCGCGAACCTCCGCGAGGACCTCCTGCAGGGGTTGAACGTCTTGGGTAAGCCCGGAATAGATATTGGTGAAGGCACTACTGATACTGATTACCTGCATGTACGAAAGCTCAGGTGTCTGCTTCGCGAGGAGGTCGGCCGGCAGCCCCTCATGCTTCAGCGACAAGTCCAGTGCACGCCGCAGACGACAGTTCCGGGCGACAACGACGTCGGGAGGCAAACGCCTCAGAGCCTCCGCGACATCCTGCAGACAAGTACTTTGGCAAACTCACAAGCGTGCTTTCGAGCTTGATAACGAAGGCAAAGCACTCGCACCTCGTCCTTCAGCGGGTCCTGGAGGTCGTCAAAGCGCAGGCCATAATGCGCAAGCTTCTCACCAAGAGCTGCGCGGTAGGTCCGAGCCAAGCTCTCGTAGAGCGGCCGTGTAAATTGCGTAAGCTGTGCGTGACGAGGAACATCAGAGCCAGTCAGTCGACAGGGGACACACAGAAATCAAAATGCATACTTTGTTATTACAGGTGGGCTCACCAAGGAAGTCATGGCTTTGTGTTAGCTAAGGACTGCCTCAAACGCCTGATGCCCAACACAGGGGCTTCTCTACCCTAGAACCAAGCAAGCCCCAGAGTTATGACAGGGTTGCTATCTGTATTCTGACTTCCACCTGCAGCATACAACGCGACAATAAACCAAACCTGTCGTACATGGCGCGACAACCTGGTCAACTGATTCTTGGTGATAGTTATCGTTTATTGGCTCATATGGTACAATGGTAATATGATTTACTCTCTGAAATTGGTAAACCCTGTGTCCTCTGTGTAGGTGAAGCTTGGCACCCTTGTTTCCCGATAACCAAGGACGAAACATGAAATTTGCTTCTGTGAGAGCGCAATGAGGCAAATTATCTATGCGCGCTGTCCGGGAGGTGGCGACGGCGGTGTGCTGCGCATGGACTCCGCCACACGGCGCCCTGTGCTCCTGCCTCAGAAAGGCAGCGAGCTCGCAGCGTTGCTTCTGGTAAGACCACTCTGTTTCTGGTTACGTGGCATTGCCTTGCCACCTTCTCCAAACCCGGCTAGGCAAGCAGACCCGTGGTTCGCGTGGTGAAACCCTCCTAGCTAGAGCTAACCAGCGGACACGTGTCAGTGCATCATTCAGTAGCCCTGCAGCCACCGTAAACCTAAACTCAGCCAATTTAAACTCTCTTAATTAAATCCCTTCTCAGCCTATCCTTGGGATGCACCCCTCAATATCCCTGGGATGCACCCCTCAATTGCGTAAACTTCGCCCCACAGGATCATGGGACGCCTTTACACTTCCCGTCAATAACCCTGTACTCACCGACACACATACGGAGCTGAATCCATGTTTCAAAACCCGAAATCATTGACAGACGGTTGACCGTTGGCCGTTACCGTACGATCCTATGCCCAGGAGGACCTCATGTAGCACCACTACGTGCAGCGGAGCCAGCGGCGGCGCCGCCGCCGCTTTCCACTCGGCCGACCTGCCCCATTTACCTCCGAAACCATCCTTTTCAGTAGCTTGTTTGCTTGCCTGCGCTGGGTGCCTAGCGCCGACAACCCCATTGCAAAGGGTGTTCCCGGATGCTTACGTGGAGCGCAGCGGGAGAGCTGGAACACATGCAGCAGTAGCAGCGGCGGCGGCAGCAGCAGCGGCGGCGGCAGTAGCCCCTCCGCCGGGCCCCGCTGCAGCCAGCTGCCGAACAGCGGCGGCGGTGCAGCAGCGACAGCGGCGGCGGGAACGTTATGTCGGGGCGAATTCCCCCGTCAGC